ATAACTGGGGAGGGCGGGGGGAAGTATTTTAATCTCTGCTCTTAAAATCTGGACATAAAAAAAGATTCATTATACTCACAAAACAAGTAAACGTGTTAACTGCATTCAATAAGGCACTTCTAGTCACAAAAGGCAGACAACTTGGATGTTAGCTGCAGAAGCAGTGTAATGCAGACAGTAATTTCAGACCACCTGCATTTTTCCAGTTCTCGCAAATGTCAAGCCTTAACACATTTAGTTTTTATGTGGCTGATGCACTTAAGTGAGGCAATTCTGCAGTTCTTTTTGCGCTTCAGTTGACTAGCAAAAACAACAAAAAAAATTCCTTCTAAGAAGAGTTTCTTTTCACTGGAGCTCAAGTTCATCCTACCTAACGTGCAGCACTTGACTGAAAAAGTGTGAGCATAGATATTCTTGGCTGCCTGTGTCCAGAGGGTGATGCATTCCACTTCAGGTCTCGTCTGTGCACAGAGGAAACCTGGGTTGGCTGCACTCAGCCGTGTCAGATGAGCATTAGAAGTAATCTGGGATTAATCAAAGTTTGCGTGCCCAAACCAAAGTCACAGTGGAGGCACTCGTGCTAAAGCCTGAGTGAACAGTTGGAAGGCTCTCAATTAAAAATAAGTGGGTCAAATGGAATCCACGTTGCTTCATTATAGCCATCTGTCCAGTTAGCCCACGTCGGTCACTTAACCTCACTTTAAAATAAGTTCCAGAGGTTGTCTGATCCATGGTAGCCTGAGAAGAATGACTTTGTAAAGGTATCTGGTTCTCCTCTATCCCTGAAAGGCTGAACCTAGAAGACTTCAGATTCTATCCCTACCTTACACTCAGCTTCTGTAAAGTGCCTAAAAACCTTGCGGGAGGTGATTTTCCCCCTCTGCTCTGCTTTGGTGAGGCCCCACCTGGAGTCCTGCATTCAGTTCTGGAGCCCACAGTACAAGAAGGACGTGGATCTGCTGGAGCAGGTCCAGAGGAGGGTCATGAGGACGATCAGAGGGCTGGAGCCCCTCTGCTACGAAGAAAGGTTGAGGGAGCTGGGGTTGTTCAGCTTAAAGAGAAGGCTCTGGGGTGACCTAGTAGCGGCCTTCTAATATGTGAAAGGAGCTACAGGAAAGCTGGAAAAGGGCTTTTTACAAGGGCCTGTAGTGATAGGACACAAGGCAATGGCCTGACACTGCAAGAAGGTAGATTTAGATTAGATATAAGGAAGAAATTCTTTACTATGAGGGTAGTGAGGCACTGGCACAGGTTGCCCAGAGAAGTTGTGGATGCCCCATCCCTGGAAGTGTTCAAGGCCAGGTTGGACGGGGCTTGGAGCAACCTGGGCTGGCGGGAGAGAGGTGTCCCTGCCCATGGCAGGGGGGTTGGAACGAGATGATCTTCAAGGTTCCTTCCAACCTTTACTATTCGATGATTCTGTGATAAACCCCAGCCACAGCCTACCTGATATTCATTTCGAGATAACGTGAAGCCCACCAGGGAACAGGTTTGACCCAGTTAAATGTCATTTGGGTGGATTTCCTAAACAAAACCAATCGACCATCGACATTTGAAAATCACTGAATGTGTTATGTGAGAGACGTGATTTGCAGACAAACCTACCGTGGCCATTTTCAAAAAATCAAGCATTTCAGATCATTTTGGGAGGTAGTGAGTTGAAGTAACTTGGAACTTCCTGTGTTATTTAATTAAAATTCTCTTTAAATTATTCTTCAGAAGGAAATGTTCAAAAAATGGTGACTCATTAAACAGATTCAATAACATCATTAAAAGAGGCAAATTTTGATGAGGTAAAATTAATAGCTTTTGCATGCCATAAAGAACAGTGGAAACTATATGAGGCAATGAAAATGGTGTTATTAATGCTAATAGCAACCATACTATTAGTTTCCTGTCTTCTGCAATTGATGTACCTTTAAATGTCAACCTGAACACAGTGTGAGAAAAAGAATTTGTAGTGGCTTGAATTAAATCCCCTAAATGTATCTTGCAAGTGGGGAAAAAAGTCAGAAAATGTTTGATTCCTCGTTTACATCCTATTTATTTTCTTAGGATTTTTCTTTTTTTCACACACAGGTCTCTCTTTGGATGTCAAGATGATTCATGAATTGGCGAATTGACGATGCATTCAGTTAAGGAAGATCAGTATCAGAAGTATTATGTAACTACAGCTTAGGTTTCAAAATTCCAATACAAACGAGTTGGATTGTATCGTTGTACTTCCGGTGCAAATTCTGCTGCATAGCAAAAATCAATTTACAACACAGCACATGCAGTTCTGCCTTACAGGAAGTTTCCAGCTGAGAGCTCAGAAGAACCTGTGGTCATAAAAATGGGCTGAGAGATATTAGCAAACCCTCCCGAGGCCTGGCAGTAGAAAGGCTGTGATGTAAGTAAAGATCCTCAAGAATAATCAAGCTGGAAAAGCTGCACACTCATCCCTATCCTATCCACTCAAGGGAGCATTGCTAGTTCTTTACGTACTAAATACTACAGAAGTGATACCTACATAAAGATAAACCCATCTAGAGATATTTAATAAGGCCTGGGGAGTGAACTGTCAATCACTGTGTGAAATAGCACTGGAGTGAAACACCAAAGGAAATAATGTCATCTTTTCTAGTATTCATTTCTTGCAGTGTTGTAAGATTTTTTGATTAAGCCTTAAAGGGATTGAATAAAAAGAAATGAAATATTACGGATTCTTTGAAAAAGCTGAGATCAATTTTAAGTATGTTACCTGGTTATCCTCTAGGTTGATCTTCTCTAGCAGATCATGTTCCTCCAAGCCTTCTAGACTTGATATTTTATTGCTCGACAGGTCCAGCTCCCGAAGAGTTTTCAAGCCGTCCAATCCAGTTATCTTCTCAATCTGGTTAGAGCTCTAAGAAATGAAAGCATATAAACTGTCAATAACATTCGACAGATGGAAAACAACAGCCCTGAGGAGTAACAGAGTTCACTTTATTATTGAGAATCTTACTGTAAATAGGCCTTTTACGCATTAGCCTCATCTTCATCTTGAGATGCCTTATTACAGCTTGCCAAGGAAAAAAAAGAATCAACCAACTTCTGATTAACTTGTCTTCAACTCACCTTGAAGAGCAGCGAGAGACAACAGCAATACAGAGAGCTCAGCATTTAAAGCTGATACTGGCTAAAGGATACTCTTATCCAACTCCAAATTTAGGAAATGGATATGCACTTGAAATTATAGAAGATATATACATAAATACATAGTATTTCCCTCTGTAATCATGTAATCATGGTTATATTTAAACTTAACAATTTAATAATAAACAATGAAAACATTAAGGTAGAACAATGCAACAATGTCTTCTTCGGACTACAGGCACTCCAGAAAAACACCACGAGGACACATAAGTCCATCTTAATGTGTGCTAAGTGAAGGCAGCTTCATTTAGTGTCAGCCACAGCAAGCACAGCAATGTTAAAAAAACCACACCCAAACCCACCTCACTGTAAGTTCATCTAGACTCTAACACAAGAAAGGAGCCAAGCTTTCGAGAGCTCACAACCAGCTATCGTTGTTTTACATCCTTTCCAAACGAGGTATGAGATAGGAGACCTACATCCACCACCGGGCACCAGATGGCTTCGGTTCTCGGGGCCTCACAAATCACATCCTCCTTTCTGCTACAAACTCCAAATAGGTTGAACACGCTACGTGCTCTACTCAGCTTTGTCCCGGTGGCCACACGTGCACAGATGGCCTCTCCACACGATTCCTCCCGTATAACCTTGCAAGTTATATCTTCCCCATCAACATTACCTTGTGCCGAAAGCTTAGGAGCCTCATCCTCTATTAATAAATATTTAGGAACTACTGAAATAAATAAGCTGGCTGACTCCAACGTTAATCCAGTTGTCTGTCCTTGACATTCTTCCTGACTTTTAAATGTTTAATTAGGTTATTAATAGCGCGGAGGCTCGTTCTTCTCTCCCTGCTCTTCGTCAGACCTCTGTTTAATAGCATTCAGCTCTGGCTGCAAAACGCTACGCCAAAGGTGCACACGAAATTCTGTGAACAAAAGGGATTTGTGTGGAAATCCTTTTTTGCAACGCATAAAATTCCTAAGAGTCCAGTTCATTAGAGCGGCTCTCCTTGTATTTTTCTTTTTTTTTTTTTTGCAAACATAAGCAGAATAAAAGCTTTTTGGTATATAGCATGGCAGTATTTATAGTTTTTGAAGCCTTTCTTCCAAACTTCAGACTTTACGACTCTTTCAACCTAAAAAGCCCAAGGGAAAATGGAAAAGCAAGCTGAATCAATGGGAAGAGAAAGGATGACTGCTCCCACGAAAGAAAAAGAGCTGCGTTTTATTCTAACTGGTAGAATAAAATGCTATGGTAAAACCTGTCTGTTTACATAATTTCCACATGACTGTCTAGTTTGCTAATTAGAAAAGACAAGCAGTTGTTTAAATAATCAGATCGGCGTGTTAAGAACTTAAACTGAAGAACATGTTCGTATTAATAAGGTGTAGCTGTTAACACAACCTCCACAACATTTTACAGAGTGGAAAACCATTACTAACAGAATTATTATTGGGCCTTTTAAGAGATGAGGAAATCAGTGCACACAAAGGTTGAGCCACTCGCTGTCGTTCTCTCTGAAGAAAGTATTTAGAGAAAAGGTCTTCCTGTCAGCTTAGATTGTCATACTCCTTTCGTTCTTTTCAGAACTTTTAGACACGATTTTGCCGATCTAAGTTAATCTCACCCACGGAAAATGAGACAAAATTCAGTTTTATTGCCACTAAGGGCATAACTTAAAGCTACCAAGGGCATTCTATATCTGAAATGTATTAAAAATACGTTACTGAATACTATTTTAGTATATTATTCAAAGTATACCACTCTCCACTTTTGAATGTGAATACCTTTCCTGAATATTAAAGTAGTAATAAGTACAAGGGCCAATCAGGCCTTGATGAGTACAGACCTTAGTTACTCTTTTCTTTATCAATTACTACAGAACAGAAGAAAAATCTTTAAAATTTTAAAAGGATTGGGCAAGAATATTTCTATTCCTGATAAGGGATTCATTCGCTTTACCTAAAATATTTATGTAGGTGCGTAAAACTAATATAGCAAATACCAGCATATTTCTATGTATAAGTTTTTGGTACTCATTAAAAAATATTTAACAGGACTTTTCAAATTATTATTATTATGAAGCAAAACCTATTACGAAGGCATTGATGGACAAAGGTCTATACTTGGGGTAGTTATCCTTGGCTCTCTTCATGACTAACACAGAGAAACAGGCATTTCTGAGGCCTGATGCATCCTGTGTTAAGGCACATGTTAGCAGCTGGATCAAAATAACGAATTATTTCAAGTGTTCGTTTCTCTCCACTGAGTTTTGAGGCAGCCGAGAACAACCGGCTTGGGCACAGTTGTCTAAACCACAGAAATCTGAAGCCACGTAAGATAAAACCCACTAAAGAATATACAACCTATAAATGCTATATTTAAGCAAACATACCCTAGGTGTCTTGATGCAAAGCTGGCAATATCAAGCTTCCTATCTCATGAAAAGATCTTTAAAAAAATTAAGCTAAGATCCTTTAATAATGTATTAGATTTGCATGTTAAACTTCACTCGTTTTCTAAAACGAGTGTAGCCTTCTCAGTCCTCACTTTTCTCTCTCCTGGCCGAGCTCACTGCTATCAGGAACACAACTCCATGAGGAAATGCACTTTAAAAGAAAACAAATAAGATCATTGTTCGTATTGTGGCACTTGCACGGTAAATAACTTAATCACGTAAGCAACCACGAAACCTACCCAGAGGAAATGCAAAATGATTCTGCAGAAATTCAAAACCCAGATGGGCAAAGCCCTGAGCAACCGTCGCTGAAGATTAGTAGAGGAAGCTGGACTAGACGACCTCCACAGCTTCCTTCTGCCTAGATCATTCTACGATGCTGTGTTAATTAAAAAAAATGTGCCCTGGATCACAAGTATCTCTGAAAATGTTAGGTAATCACCTTCACATTTCTTAAGCCATTAATATATTGATAAAAGACAGGCCGGGAAGCAATCAGAATTCCTTCTTTCTTACCAGATTGAGTATTCTGACAGGCAAGTTCTCAAGCCCACTGACTGCAACGAGTCTGTTGTGTGACAAACTGAGATGAGTCAGACTGTGGCATTTCTCCAGTCCTCTTATCTCTTCTATGTTGTTAACTACACAGAGGTTTCATGTTTAAGGAAAATAACTAAACAGAGAACTTTCACAATAAGTAGTTGCCAAAGCGGCCAATGGTATTGAATTTTATGGTGTGGGGAGCTGGACATCAAATGCTTCATGCTAAGGAGTTTTAAATCCCAGCTTCCCACACCCACTCCTGTTCCGGAATTTATTGCCTCGGTTGACACAACTTTTTGTAGCACACGCACCACTGATCGAGCTAGAAATCTCCTCCTCTCCTTTTTGGAGGGGTTTTTAATCCTGGTTGTTTCTGCAAGCTGGTTTACAAAGCGGCTTTTCAAGTCGGCAGAACCAGGCTGCTGGCAAATCAAGAAAGTAGGAAAATGAGGAAACAGGAGAGTTGTGAAGAAGCTACTTCGGCCAGCACCTTGCAAAACTATGCTGCAAATCTCTGGTCTTCCTACCAGACGCATGTATGCAGGTAAATCACAGAATCACAGAATGTTCGGGGTTGGAAGGGACCTCGAGAGACCTCGTCCAACCCGCCTGCCAGAGTAGGATCACCTAGAGGAAAAACATTGGGGAATTTATTTCTTTGGCTTTTAACTGAGCACCAGTCATCTTAGGTCAGCCGTAGAATACAGGCAGGTGGCTGATTCATCAGAGGAGGGCATGATCTTTTTATGTCCACAGAGCGCTTAACAAACTGACCTCGACCTCCAAACACCATACACAAATTATTCAAGTCATCACAGACAACAGTACTATATGGGGCTCTTTCACTCAAAATTATAGCTGTTCTATACTGGCCATCTGTCCTGAAAGGTGAAAAAGTATTTTAAATTAACATTCAAAACAAAAGCGGCAGTACAAGTGGTTAAGATTCCTCTCGGCAAACTTCAGCATTAACATCACTACCCTGATTCCTTAGACAAAGCACACTTCCTTCGAGAAGTCCTCACATCAGAATGCTCTGTTAGAACAGGATGAACTGCAGAGGTACCTCACTCTGCACTGAAATCAGGTAACTCTGATCCACGCATCTAATTGTTTGGTGACTGAAGTTAAGCAAGAAGAAGTGTCCAAGCTGGAATGAGCTACATAAAAAAACCACAACTGAAAAAAAAGAAAATAATAGCCAGAACAAATAGGACACAGGGAAATGCCTTTAGGTAATGACAGAAGAAAACAATTTTAATTGACTTGAGAGAACAAACTCTGCCAGCAAAGAGGGGCAAGTGAATTTTCATTCACATTTCTAGTCTTACCAGGCAGTGGATAAACTAACATGATTTTTTTCTCTCAGTCTGAATGATACTGTAAAAAAACAACATGGAAGCTTAGTCAGAGCCAACAGAATACTCTTTAATAGTCGTGACTTTGTTTTTTCCTACCTGCATTCTTGCATAGGGATTTAATCGTATGTGACACAATTACTACACTCACAGGGCTAAATGGGGAAGGAGAGGAGGAGAAATGAGCTAGCAAGCACCATTTGTCTTTTCCTAGGACCTTACACTGGGCTGTCTCTGTCATTTTAGAAAAGAAACGAAAACAATCCACAGGCACTGGTATCTGGCAGATATTAATCGATTTGCATACAAAATGAGACTGCTTCAACTTAGGAGGAAAACTTTTGGTGAGGTAAAAAATATTGTTTGAGCCACGAGCATCATGAACACGAGGCAGCAAATTGCTCAGCACTAAAAACTAAGACAATCAGGTTTAGTCTTTTAATGTCTCAGTATAATGCTTTGTTAGGTATTATTGCCCCTTTCTGGTTTGGGCCATTTCCTCCTTGAAAACTCATTTATAAACCTCTCAGGTGTGCTTGTGTGTGCACCTATCAGAAAAAAAGTTACAACGACCTTACCATCTGCATCACGATTCACTTAAATATGGGAAGAAAGGCTTAGTTACCGTCAGCAAGAAGGGCATGCCAAACATTTCCACTGCTGCACGATATTTAATACAGTATTTTCACTTACGATTACAAAAACCAGCTTGAGCTGTCTGCTGAGTCTTTGTTGAGGAGTTCTTGACATGGGGTAGGAATGGTGCTACTTTGCTATTCTAAATTCTGCACTTCTAAGTTCTGCACTTCTAAATCCTGCCTTCATTCTCCTCGATTTCAGAGGGTCCTGCACGCACAAAACAGTTTTTCTCCCCATTTTGGTGGCATCTTCACTGACAAATGAAGAAACGGAGGGCAGCATGCTGCTGCACTGAAACCAAATGCAAAAAAAATCTGATCCACAATCCAAATCTCTGAGCTTTTTCCCTTTTCATTTTGCTGTATGGATTTTGCTCCACGATAGATTAGAATTGCAAAGGGATAGTGTCTCAAATGGCATTTTCTGACAAGATTCACATCACCCACACAGCTTGTAAAGCATGTGAATAGCATAACCTGGATGCCCTGCACATGCTTTATCTGCTCCTACACGAAAAAAAAAGGCATTGCATTAATATAATTTCGTAACGGGCTACCTCGAGGGCAAGAGATGGAGGAAAAACGTGCAACAGCCTGCTGTCTTCTGTCTTTTCAGAGAGCAGAAAACCAAGATGCAATTTATGAGGCAAGGAGGAAAGGGTCACGAGCCCTCAGGAAGCAATTGTAAGTAAGGCACCATAGAATCATTAAGATTGGAAAAGACCTCTAAGATCACCTAATCCGACTGCCAACCATGTCATCACGGAACTGCAGAAGACCTTTCAGAAAAGCACCGGAGGATCTTTAGGGAGGCTAAGAGTACTGTGGACAGTCTTGGAGAAGTAAGCAACGAAGAAACTTAATCTGCAGGTTCACGTTTATCTGATTTTTGCCAGAAGAGCGTTTCTAATTCCACAAATTAGGTGCCACGGTGAGCGTGTGAGAGGCGGGGAGCAGAACCTTCACTCTGCGCACTTGGCATACTCCAGGAAGTTTTCTCTCACTCAAAGATTCTCTTGATTGTCACTGTCACTGCCTCTACAGTCCCCGTGTAATTAGCTACGGCTAAGGTGAAACAACACACACCTTCTTCGTTTAAGGGAGCTTAGTGTTCCAAGCTGATTTCCTATTAACCTTTCTTATATAAAGACACTGAGGTTATTTATTGCCTCTGCCATGCAAAGCCAGTGCGACATGTCACTTTTTCAGTTTTACATAATGCAAAGTGTGTTCTTCTAGCAGGCTAATACCTTACATGGAGACACAAACACCTTTAACACTGGGCATGCTTAAGTAAATTAAGATCAGTTTCACCACCAGAATGACAGTGTTTAATCTTGCTTCTAAAGACAAAACTGATATGAAAGAAAAGCACAAAGAAACTGGGTACCTATTGGAAGCAAACAGCTCTTCAGAAAGCAAACAAGCAACTTTTCTCTCACAGAAGGTTCTGTAAAGGATACAATCCAGCAAGAGCTTAGTAAGTGACTGGTACGCTGACAAATCCTGCATTTTTGGTATTTGATTCCATGAAAAATCTACTTCCTAAAGAAAAAAGAACATAGAAAGTTACTTCTACTTCTTCAGCACTGAACAGCTGTCTTGTGAGACGAAATGGCTGTTGCATTAAATTCTCGATCACAGGCATGGAAGAAATAAGATGATCATTAATACCGGGACATAAATAGAAAGGCTGGTTTTTATGACACATAGAACTCGCATTTTGGGAACTTCCAAAACTATACTTTCTCCCAACTAACAGAGAAGACAGAGAACCACATAAAGGCTGTGTTTCAAAACAATCTCCCGCTTTCTATAACCCCAAATGGGCTACAAGAAAACACCAACAAAAGGAAGATTAGCAAACAGCTACACTTTTAAGCACACATTTCACAATAATGACCGGCACCAGTCAATGCGAAAGGCAGGAAGCGAAAAGTCTGATGAGTTTGACAAGCAAGGAAAAAGCTGGGCTGTATTGACCTCTGGCTAGAACTGTTAGCCTTCCCATGGCACTCGTGGCATGCAAGGGTCCAGAATGTGAAAGAAAATACTGAAATGTGTAGTGTAAAACCTCTAAACATTGGAAAAGCTATGAAAATGTCAAATGAGGTAAGAAAGAAGAATAAGGAAGACATAAAAATTCTCTTTTGCACGTCTCCAAATACAACGTCTAAACTAGACTTAGAAAATGGCTTTGAGTTTAAAGTGATAAAATGCATTTTTTGCAACTTACCTTGAGATTTTTAGGTGGTTTGAAACCAAAATACGTAGTCAATTCATTGTTGGAAGCATTCAGTTCTAGTAAGTGAGGCATGTGACTGATGCAAGAAAGATCTAGTAATAAAACAAAATATCAAATCCTGTACATGAGTGCACGGGGTAAATGCAGAGATCATCATGTCAAAATGCGATAATTACGTCCAAAAGCAATCAAGAATCAATCTGTAGTTACACATTCCGAAAGCGATGTTTGAAATGCAGAAATTACATATATTGACACCTTCTAGGGAAAAAAAAAAAGGTTTCTAAACCACAAAGAACTGCAGAAATTACATATATTGACACCTTCTAGGAAAAGAAAAAGGTTTCTAAACCACGAAGAATAAATATTCTACCTTAAATTTCCCTTACGCCAACTGATTTGTCTATAAGCCAGAATATAACTTTATATTCCAGCTACCTCTAGAATGACAGAGAGACTACTTCTGTCCTAACTTGTTAATTAGTGGAGAAAAGTATCTAGGCTGCCACTGGTGACTAAATGACTAGCTGCTGTGGAAAAGTCCCTGCTCCCTTCAGACCTTGCCTTCACAGACAAACTGTCAGTAAAATAAGCGTGGGGAAGTGCCACCTTACAAAAGTGCTGCTGGAGTTACTGGAGTCCAGCACCTCAAGTAAACTGAACTTGGAAGAAATGATGGAACAGGTTGTCCAACACAGCTTATTCCTTTGGATGTTGAAATAAAATATGAGTTGGGGAGGATAAAGGAGAGGGAAGCAGTAGAAGATGATGGAGTTTACCCCAGTCTCCATTTGTTGCCTTTCTAAATCCAGGATATATTTGTTTTTCACATTTTGTCACCAAAGGGAAACCTTGACACAGGAAAGCCCAAGGCTGGGAAAACTGTTCTAGACATAACTTCATGGAATCATTAGGGCTGGAAAAGACCTCTGAGATCATGTAGCCCAACTGTCAATTCAACACTGAACCATGTCCTAAAGTGCTAAATGATATCCTTAAAATATTATGGCATCCACACATGTAAAATCTCAGCCTTAATCTTGTATTAACATGCTTGCTTGCATTTTATCTTCGGATAATAAACTGGACAATAATCTCCATGTTCCCACGGATAAACACCTGCTGATGCAGCTGTCTGAATGGTCCGTACATCGTTCTCAAGAAGATCCAGCCGTCACCTCATTCTGTAGGGCTGGAGTAGTTACGCCATTAAAACGCAGAGCGTGCTTCGCGATACTAAAGCTACACGGTAGAGCGCATTTCTCATCTTAAATGATTTCACAACCCAAGAATTTACCAGTGTATCTCGTACATACCATTAATTTTATTATATGAAAGATCCAGCTTCTGTAGGTGAACGTATCTGGAAAGAATGTTAATGTCACTTAGCTCGCGACCCTGGAAAAAAAAAGAAATGAGACCTTAAAAACCAGCTGTTTAACCTCAGCCGCTCTCCCGAGAGATACGCAGTCACGGGAGACATTGAAGAGGTGCCCCAAGGTCCCTCCAGACGGATGTGACAGAACACGATGACATATACAGAAAGCGACGTTAGACCTGCAGATCAGCCGCAAATGGAGAAAATGTTAAAAGAAGACTCTAAAGCACAACCAGGAGAGATAACTGCAGCTAGGAAAAACACCAGAAAAAAACCAAGGCTGCATAGAAAAGGGAGAGGCAGCAAGAACTCTTTAAAAAGACAGAAAAATTTTAACTTTCTGAAGGGGCAATACATGGAGCTTTCTAAAGTGTTTGGTGTGTTCCTCTAATTTTATTTTTTTTTCCTCCAGCTGAGTGAAAGAAGAAGAGACCTTTTCACACCTGAAGACCAGGAAAGGAAAAATCTTACTGCTCTTGCTAACGTGAAAAAAAAAGGATCCTGATACAGCAGTTGTCAGTGGGAGCCATCCTGTGTCTTGTCAAAAGTAACACGACACGGCATTGACAGGGAGAGACAAAAATCTGCCTCTTGAAATTTTTTTTACTAGGTCAACTCTTTGCTGTTAAAAAGAGGAAACCTCTGAGCAGAGAAGCACTTCACAAGGATGTTCTTTGCTTACCGAAAGCGACAGATTGAGATAAACGTATTCGATACCAGAGGCTGAGCGCCCCAGCTTGTGGAGACCCTCAGCCACGGTGTCTTCATCCAACACTCCATCAAACTGATCCTAGAAAATACCAGAAAGGGGGGGCAGGGAGAGGAATGGATTAAGGGGAGATTTGTGAAACACAGAGCCTGGGGGCTGCTCGGGATGCAATTGGGAACCGAGCTTAATAAAAGCCCTCAATCAGATTGCTTTCAGTGTTTCACCACTCTACTGAGGCACAGCACATCAGGAAAAAAAAAGATTAAAACAGCCCTCAAAATCAATCAATAGACATGTCACACACTACTTCCATACATTTAAAAACGTTCAACAGGTTTTTGTTGGATTGGGTTTTTTCACCTTCTGGTTTAAAAGCACAGCTATGAACAGGACCTGTTTCCAGACATGTTGAGCCACGAGACCCACATCAATTAGGGATGTTAACATCTCAGCAAATCAGCACTAATATAACCCCAGCGTTGCACCCCAATATGCACACTGTTGGAGGCCCTTTACATTTGTTCAGCGCAAGCAGCTAGCGCTGCTCTTCAGAGAACAAGCTTTGCCAAAGAGGGTACTTGACAGATGGCACTAATGAACCGCCGCGTAGGTTTAATGAGAAAATCAGCCAACGGTTTGTGAAATTCCTATAAGCTTGGAGCAGGCACACAATTGCTAATCTAGGGACCAAGATAAATAATGTTTCAAATGGTAACCATCTAAATTGCAGCTTCTACCAGGAGACTACAGATGCATTTCTACTAGGTAAAACCAGGAGGTGACAATATTGTGGCAGTGGACACTTCAGTCCAGCAGAGCAGGGAGAAAAAAAATCACTTCGGTCCCTGAGGCTGAGCATATAAACGGGAAAGGGGGTTAATTTGGCCATCTATGTACCAACTTATCCTTAGCCTTTATATGGCAAGGAGAGAGAGGGACAATTCAGAACTACGCTGAACACGGGGATGAAAGGGACCCTAAAAAGAGAGAGAAATTAGAGGCAAAAGGAAACAGACCAAGCAGCCTTTCCTCTCTTTGGGGAAATGCAAAATCACTACCTGATGTCCCAATCATAAAATGGTTTGGGTTGCAAGGGACCTTCAAGATGATCTAGTTCCAACCCCCTCCCATGGGCAGCGACAGCTCCCACCAGCCCAGGTTGCTCCAAGCCTCATCCAACCTGATCTTGAACAATTCCAGGGATGAGGCACTCACAGGTTCTCTGGGCAACCCGTTCCAGTGCCTCCCCACCCTCATAGTAAAGAATTTCTTCCTAATGTCTAATCTAATCTCCCCTCTTTCAGTTTAAAGCCATTACCCCTTGTCCAATCACTACATCCCCTCATAAACATCCCTCTTCTGTCCCTGACAACTCCACGGTGTGATGAGGGGGCAAAAGGGCAGCTCCCTCACAAGCACAGCCCTCCTCAAAGTGCTGGGGGGAACTGAGCTGAACCTCGGTGTCCTCTGCCTCCTCTTCTTCCTCGCTGTGGTCATCCTCCTCCGGCTCATCCCCTCGGTGAGGCAGGCTGGGCCGTGGCTGCTGCAGGCTGAGCCTGTCCTGGGACTGCCCGGGGATCCCCTGGGAGAGGTGATCGGGGGGCCTATCAGAAGCGGGAAGCAGCTCCCCGAGGCCACCCTCTCCCCGCTTTTCCTCGTTCTCCGCCATGATAAGAAGCGAGGAGGCGGAAGGGATTAACACCACCCCATCACCCCTCCGAGCAGGCCGCCGCCATCTTGTTTGCCTTTCCGTTGCCGTG